CCCCGCCATTCATTTCGGCACACCCCTCACACGCTTCGTGGCCCCATCGGAGTTCCGCCGACGGCCCCCGTGGCACAGTCCGCATGCGTCCCGGCCATTCATGTCGGCACACCCCTCACCCGCTTCGTTGCCCCATAGGCGCTCCGCCGAAGGTTCCCGTTGACACAGTCCGCATGCGTCCCCGCCATTCATTTCGGCCCACCCCTCAAACGTTTCGTGGCCCCATAGGAGCTCCGCCGAAAGTCCCCGTGGCACAGTCCGCATGCGTCCCCGCCAGTCATGTCGGCACACCCCTCACACGCTTCGTTGCCCCAAAGGGAACTCCACCGAAGGTTCCCGTGGCGCAGTCCGCATGCGTCTCCCTCACCCAGTACAACGTTTCGTGGCCCCATATGGAGCCCCACCGGAGGTCTCCGTGGCGCAGTCCGCATGCGGTTTCCTCACCCAGTACAGCGTGGCCCCATAGAGAGCTCCACCGAAGGTCTCCGTGGCGCAGTCCGCATGCGGCTCCCCCACCCAGTACAGCGTGTCGTGGCCCCATAGGGAGCTCCACCGAAGGTCCCCGTGGCGCAGCCCGCATGCGTCTCCCGTACACCTCCGTCGGAGGCCGTCGGAGTTCTGAGAACGACGAGCCTCGCCGTCTCTCGACGGTCTGACTACTTGTTCGGCCTCGCGCCGCGGACGACCCGCGCGCGTCGCTGGGACCCTCTCGGGGCGACCAGCGCGCGTCGCAGGAACTCCGTGCTGCGTTCTGCCCAGCGCCTCGCTCGCCCGTCGTCGCTCTGCCCAGCGGCAAGAGCCTTGCCCGCTATCAGCCAGCCAGCTAGCTCTCTTTGCTCAGCGCAGCGGTCGACCCGCGCGCGTCGCTGGGAACCCTCCGGGGCGACAAGCGCGCGTCGCGGGGAGTCCGTGCTGCGTTCCGCCCAGCGCCTCGCTGGCCCGTCGTCGCTCTGCCCAGCGGCAAGAGCCTTGCCCGCTATCAGCCAGCCAGCCAGCTAGCTCTCTTTGCTCCGCGCAGCGGACGACCCGCGCGCGTCGCTGGGACCCCTCCGGGGCAACCAGCGCGCGTCGCGGGGACTCCGCGCCGCGCTGCGCCCGCAGTCTTCGACTTTTGTGTGCGCGGGCAAAGAGGGAGTACAAGAAGGGGAGGAAGCGGGCGCGATCCTCGCGAGGGGGCGCGCCGACATTGGCGCCACCGCGCGCGGGCGATGCCGTCGGGGAGTCCCGAGGGCTCCTTGCGGCGGCCACGCCCAGCGTCACGAGTACCCAGAGGCAGTCATTTTCAAACTATTGACATTCATATACAATTTCACCATGCTTTGTCATACTCGCATTCATGCACGTAGATTCGCTCGCACGCAGATTCATTCACAGTCAGGCGCACTCGCGCTCATATTCACCCGCGCTCAGTCTCCCTACGTACTCAGATCAAGCGTTTTCGTTCGCGTCGTGTACCACGCCACTCATGTCGGCACACCTCTAGCACGGTTCGTTGCCTCATCGGGATCGCCACCGATAAAAGTGGATCACAACTGCGGTACTCACACCTGCATATGGTGGGTCTTTCGTCAGGCTAATATGTTTAATCCGAGCGGGCCCTGAACCTGGGAATCGCGTGAATGATGCCACTTTTGAGCTCCCCAAGCTTGAATCCTGAGGCAGTCTCACGCGGGAGCCTCGTCTGTGGGTAAAGTGATGGGTCCCGCGCGTCATATGTATGTATGTATGTATGTATATATATATATATATATATATATATACATACATGTGTATATATATATATATACATATATATACTTTTGTGTATACACAAATAAATGTGGGAAAAAACGGGCGGGTCACTGGAACCTTGTAACTGTTGTTTTTTTTTTGGGGGGGGGTCCTCAGGCCTCAAAAAGGAGGAGGTCCCAGGCGGGAGCTTTGTCTGTGGGTGAATGGCGAGGAAGTCTCAGGCGGGAACCCCCTCCCAATGGGGTCCGTCTTTCGCGTTGGTTATCCAAGCGGGTCATCGGGACCGGGTGACTGGTGTCACTTTGCAGGTTTTCTGGGCTGAGCATATAGGAATTCTCACGCGGCGGCTTCGTCTGTGAGTGGGTAGCGACGACGTCTCAGGCGGGAGCGCCCCCCCCCCGAATGGGGCCCGCGCTTCACATTGGTAATCCGAGCGGGTCATCGGCATAACCCACTTGGCATAGCATTTGAGCACCCAAAAGGGGCACATCACGAGGTGTTCCTCGCGCGTCTGTGAATGAGTTACAAGGAAGTCTCAGGCGGGAGCCCCCTTCCTGGTCACAAGTCGCACGAGGAGCTCGACAAGAGAAGCGGTGGATTCCAGGGCTACGGCGGAACAGTTCGCGGCAGAGCTGAACTTCGTGCTGCTTCCCACCCGAGCGCAGCCGCGACTTATTCGGTGCCTGCGGGGTTGTTCCAACGGCTTGCTCTCGCTCCCCAGTGGTTCGCGGGGTTGTCCCAACGGCCGTTGCGCCGACGGGTTCGCGATTTTGCCATCGGAGAACGCGCCCCTGCCGGGCGCGGCGGTGATGGCGCCGAAGAAAATCGGCACGCGCTCCCCTGCCAGGCGGAAGGACAGGTGCATGAAGAGAACAGGCGGGATGGAGATGATAGGGTGGAGGAGGAGGAGGAGGGGGAGGAAAAGGACGAAGAGGGAGAGGACCAATTTGACAAGGTTGGCGAGCAGGAGGAGGAGGAGACGGATGACAAGGAATACAAGGAGGAGGAGGAGGAGGATGAGGAGGAGGAGGAGGAGGAGGAGGAGGAGGAAAAGGCGCAAGAGAGGGCTATTTCAACGGATTCTTATGCGGGGTCCGACCGTCGGAGTAATTATTCTTCCCTTTTTGTCCGAAAGGACAACATATGTGTTGCCGCGTCGGGGCGCGACGGCGACCACGGGGCCGCCATGCCAGCAGTCAGGCCCAGACGACGGGCGGCGGCGAGGCGGCGACGGGGCTGTGACGGCGAACGCGGGGCCGCCAGACCGCCTGACAGGCATGGACGACGAGCGGCGACGAGGCAGCGACACGGCGGCGACGGCGACCACGGAGCTTCTTCTGTTACATGCAGTACAAACCTCTGGGTTCAAGCACTCAATGGGGAATGTGTGTACGTGGACAGACACACGCACACACATACACATACACATATATGTATATGTATATGTATATGTATATGTATATGTACATGTATATGTACATGTATATGTATATGTATATGTATATGTATATGTACATGTATACATATATATTTGTACATGCATATGTGTGTTTGTGTGTGTCCGCACACTCACGCATGTTCCTATATATAGACATACATACATGCATACAAACATACACATCAACACATATGCGTGTGCCCGTGTGTATGCGCATGCGTGCTTATGTATATACATAAATGTAGTATATACGAACACTGCATATGTCTGGGGGGTTGGGCCACGACCCTGCATTGGGGGGGGCGTTTGCCCCCCAGGTGCCTAAACAGGGGCCCGAGACCTCCTAAGAGTGTCCCACGGCTGTCATGATGGTTCCTAGGGTGGCCTACTGCGGACCGAAGGCGGCCTCATATGCCCAGAAGACAACCCGAGTGGACGTCAAGACAGCACACGAAGGCTCCAACACTGCCCAGAAAATCCCAATCCACTCCAAGAGCGGTCCGAGAGAGCTTCCAAGCGGCTCCTGACAGGCCCAAATCATTGGTCCGCTTTAGGTGTGTTTCCTGACCGCCCAAAAAGGTGTCACAGACCCCCAACGGCGCCCCAAGACGTCCCAAAAGGGCCTCATGAGAGCTTCCAGCTGGCCCCTAGAGCTTCCAGCTGGCCCCAATCCTGCCCCCAGCGGGCACCCCGAGGCCCCGAATTGGCCGAAGAGAGTCCCAGGACGGCGCCAACAGAGCGCCAAGAGTGCTCTACGAGACCCCCAAGAGGCCTCGGGGGTCAAGGACAGCCCAACAAGCGTCCCAGCTGGCCCCTGGGCCCCCGAAGCCGCCCCAAGACGCCCCAAAGACGGCCCCAAAAGCCCCCCAGGCAGCACAAAAGAGAGGCCACAGGTGGTATGCGAGCGCCTCATGAGAGCCCAAAGAGCGCCGCCTGATCGTCCAGTAGTCCGAGGCCACCGGCAGGAGGGAGAAGGGAGGGGGGAGGAGATGGCGGGAGGAGGGCCGATGGAGGATAGGTGAGGATGCTTGGAAGAGGATAGAGGCAGGAAGGAGGAGAAGATGAAGAAGCGGATATGAGTTAGGGAAGGCGATGGATAGGACAGGATGAGGATTGGAGGAACGACGGACGGAGAGGTGGAAGGAGTGAGGAGGGGAGATGATCGCCAAGAGGAGGCAAGAGGGAGGGGCCATGGTGGGGTTCCCTCCCTCGCCCTCTGAGGGTGTCCGTGTGATAGTCGTCGAAAGTTTGGTCAGTCCAAACATTATATTCGTGCACCTCTTCAGATGAGTTGCTGTCTAGGGCTGGGAGTGCTAGTCACGCGCGATGCGCGCGTGGTCTGAGTCTCATGTAAGTATGTACGGTGAATTTCACACAGTCCTTACGTACACACATAAACATGTGTCCAGGGTGAAAAAGGGAGGGAGGCAGCGACAGGGAGTGGGAGAGAGAACGAGAGAGAGAATACACATGTAGACAATAGAGTTGGCGAAAGGGTTTGAGAAGAAGGATAATGATGAGATGTGGGACGAACGACATATGGAGGAATAGAGGCTGAATAACATGTGGGTAAGATTTGATGCACTTGGAGAAAGACGAGCTGAGTAGATCATATGTATCAACAGCAAGAGGTGGGGGCACCCCCTCCTCCTCCTCCTCCTTCTCCTCCTACTCCTCCTATTTGTCATCACCTCTCGCCTCCTCCTCCTCCTCCTCCTGCTCCTCCTTCTCCTCCTCCTCCTCCACCGTCTTTCGGTTGTGCCACCTCCCTTCTCCTCGACGTCATCCTCTTCCCCCTCTCCGAATATGCAGAGTTGTGCGCCGCCCCCAGGCGGAGCCGTGATGTGCCTCGACGACTGATTGGTCGAGGGGCGCTTCTAGTCTGACCATTTGGCCTCGGCTTCTCATGACCAGCTCTCGCGAAGGAGGGCAGGCGACGGGGAGGAAGAGGGGGAATGTGGGAGAGGGAGGAGGAGAGGGAGGTGTGCGGGCAGCCCCCTGCTCCTCCTCCCTGAGCTGGACAACCCCGTTTGAGGCTTGCCTCCTGCTGGTTGTACTGCGGCCTGCGTGCCTCCATCCCCGTCCGCGTCCCCCTGCCGTGCCTCCCCCAAGACGGCTGGGGGCAGAGCCGCGATGACACAAAAGAGCGCCCGCCTCGGCAGCAGGGGGCGTTTTTCGTTGGGGGGGATTCTTGCGAGGTCACCTCGGTGCAGGCACGCCTCGAGGAGTGACAGTGCGAGGTGAGCGTCTGCGGTCGGGAACTTTTCCGAAGCTTGTCGCGCCGCCTGTTCCTGCCCGCGCCTTGGCGCGACACGCTAAGCGCGTCCAGATAGAACTTCCGAGCGTTGGCGTCCCGAGCTGTTCCCAGCCTTCCAACCCAGGAAGCGCAGCGACACGCTATCCGTTTGCAGTCCGAACCGTGTCGCTGGTGCCGCCCGCTACCGCGACACGCTGAGCAAACGCTCCTGGCAGTAGACGTACCACTTGCTGGTGGGTATTATCCCCCGGACCCTAGGGCGCGATGGATATGGACAAGCCTCTTGAGGTCCAGGAAGATCGGTCAACGTGGACATGGAGGTTTTTGACCCCTCCCATGGGCTAGGATTTCCATACCGAGTTGAAAGGGCGCGCCCAGCCCTCACGTTGGGTGTAGACCTGGGGCTGGGCGTTGAGCCCGACGCACTCGTATAAGGATGCCAAAAGTCAGTGCGGGCTCTCGTGGCCCGTAGGGCTGCTCTCCCGCTGCTGCCCGGCGCGGCCCAGCTGCCTGAGCAGCAGGCGCCGTGGCCGTTTCCTAGCGTAATTTCCCGCAGACGTGAACTCGTTTTGTGTCTCGGAAAATTCGTTGGGAAGGGTCACGTGGTTGAAGTTCCGGTCGATTGCACCTTTCCTTAGTTGTTGTCTTCTTCTGCCCGATGAAAAGGTTAGGATGGCTGGAATAGAATAATTTGTCGTCGGGGGTCGAGTGTCTCACGCGCGCGCCCGCGCGCAGCTGTCGGGCCCGAAGGGCTCATACAGCCCAGCAGGGATTCGGGGTTTCGTCCCTCGATTTCCCCACCCGTCCACTCCCCTTGGGTGTAGACCTGTGGCTGGGCGTTGGGCCCAAGGCACTCGCTTCTGGGACCCAGTGGGCCCCCCGAGAAACCAGAAGCTGCCAGACCTCTTCCGTCGTGTTTTCTTCTTTCGCGGCGCGGGGGGGCCAGGGCAGGAGGATCGGTTCCCCAGGGCAGGGGATATGTGCAGATCGAGCCCCAGCCTCGGAAAAGGGGTCGCCCGCCCGCCATGCCTGCCACTTGGCCGCAGGGGCCAGCCAGCGGGGGGGCGGCGGAGGCGGACGGGAACGCGCCGAGAGCGGGGCGGGGCGCCCGGCAGAGGGCGCGGACGGCCGCCGCTCCGCCGGGCGGCCGTCGCTCGTTTTGACGGCTGCGCGCGAGAGTGGCCATTCGCCGGAGTGGCCATCCGGGTGTGCGGCTTCCCGTCGGGCGGGAGGAAGGGGGTGGGGATCCTTCGGGAAGGGGCGGGGGGGACGAGATCTGCTGCGTGCAGCTGGTCTCGGCCCCGCCGCCGGGCGCCTGCCTCGAAGCAGTGGTTCCTCCGTCGCCGGGAGGCGGCGGGAGAAGCAGCTGTCCAGACTCATTCGCCCCCCCTGTGCTTCCCCCCCCTCCCCGTCCGTCCGAGCCGATTTCGGGGGGCGTTGTGGGGCCAGGGGCGACGATTGGCGAGCTGCGCACCAACGGTCACTCTTGCCCAGGGTCACTCTGGCATGCAGCCGGCCTTATCGGACGAAGGACGGTGTGACATGAACTGTTCTGCCATCGGCGGCGCCTGTCCCAGGGCTGCTGAACAGCTTCTTAATGCGTCCTACGTACTGCCACGAGCGTATGAACTTCCCGTCCGCATTGGGGCAAGCGTTCCCCGTTGCAAAGGAGCTTGCGTTGCACCGTCGTTCGTCAGAGGAGGAGATGGTTGGGGATGTCGGGGGGGGGAGGGGCAAGGCGGTGGAGGAGGGCGGGCAGACCCAGACCCCGCTGCCCCTCGATAGAAACACGAGCGAGGCCCAGCCAGTCCGTCGGGTGCCATCCGTCAGGAGGTCCGTTTCGAGGGGCGCTCGAGGTGCCTGCTTTCCAGGGCGGCCCTGAGGGCAGCGTCAAGACTGAAAGATCGGAGCGGGGTCGGAGCGGGGAGGACGGAAGGTTTACACGTTGTTCATTTCTCATTCTTCGAGCGTTCCTTGATTTTTTGGAGGGCCGAGATCCTTTCATTTCCAATGGTTCTGTCCTGGGCCTCTTCCTGGCCACTAGGGGGCCAGGAGCAATCAGGAGCGAGCACAATTAGGAATGAGCACGATTAGAAATGAACGACGTGTGCACCAATCAGATTTCTTGAGAAAAAACAGCGTCTTCCATGGGCTCCAGACTTCGTTTAAAAGGATCAAGCATGTGGACCGGGCCCTGGGCAAATTATTTGAGCTTCCCCCTGTGCGTAGAATGCCCGTGGGTCTGAACCTGCACGATTGTTTCAGAAGACGCTTGGAGCGAAGTCCATGTTCTTGCTGAGAACTGCCTTGTCTCTAAGCTGAGGCTGGAACTTCTGGCGCTGTACAGTTGCACTACATGTGCAATCCGTTCTCCAGCGCAATACAGTTGCAATGCACTTGCCCCAAATCTTTGCACAACCCCCTCTCACCTGGACCCCTTTTGGGTCAACCAAAAAACTGCATGGGAGGAGGGAGGATCTATGGGAAGGGGGGCGGGGAGGGGATACGGCCGGGAACTTTTGGCCTAGCGCGTCGCTCCGCCGGTGCTGGCCCACCACCCTTCGGCGCGCCACGTCCCGGTCCCCGCACGGCTACGTCCCGAGCCTTTCCCAGCCTCCCGCCCCGCGGAGCGGAGCGGCACGCGATCCGCTTGCAGGGCATAGCGCGTCGCCGAGGCCGCCGCCGGGACTCGCTAACCAACAGTTCCTCACCGAACACGAGAAGCTTGGCATCGCTCGGACGTGTGCATTCTTCTTTCGACGGGGACCATCGAGGAGCATCCTTGATGATTTGGCGAAACAGCCACGCACGAAAACGAAAAAGGCACAGGGAATGGACGTCCGAGCGATGGCCAGGAAGGGGGCAGGAGGCGGGGCAGTTCTGGTTCCGAAGAGAAGCTGCAGGCGCCGATCCGGCCGGGCAGCCGGGCACCTTGCAGGGTGGGCGCCGATTGTTTCGGCGCGGAGGGCGCGGGCGACTGTCGATCGAGCGGGTATGATTTCTGCAAAAAAACGGTGCCAGAACCCTCATCGACTCGCCATCAGCTCTGTCTGTGATTCATCTGCCACACAGCATTTTGACTGTCAGGCAACCCCGAGCGACCGGCAAGCGATTTGCGGGCTGCCTCTGAGTTTGATGCCTTGAGCTCTGGCCTGCAAGGGATACTGCTGCTCCCTTTGCCGCTTGCCTCCTCCACAGTCGAATGCGCGTACGGGCAATGGGCAATCGCAAATTGTTCATACTGGGAACATGTTCGATAAGTGGCTCCTCTCTGCTTCTGAACAATTTGTTGGGCTTTTCATGTTTTCTCGTGGCCGTCTCGTGCGCTGCATGAGTTGTCTGGAGTTGCGGCCGGTCGCCGCCCGTAGCCGCATCGTGGCGGCCCCGTGCGGTGGGTGGCGTTTCCGGGCTTGTGGCGTCTCGCGGTGGCTGCATTTCTCCCGCATGGGTGGCACCACAAATTTGCAGCACCACATATTGTAGTGGCATCCGGCCAATGCCTCCGATCTGGGGCGCTCCCGATAGTGCTCGGTTTCGCCTGGAGCCGTTCTGGGGCCTGCTTGGGGCCGTCGCAGGAGGAGGCCTCTTGAGGGCTTCTTGGAAGCCTGTTTGGCTGTCTTAGGGCGTTCCTGGCCCGTCGGACGCCGTCGGAAGCCGTCTTGGGCGCCGCGCTGTGCCGTCTGGGAGCAGTCTGGGGGCGCTTCGGGGCCGTCTTGGAGCCTATCTTGGCCGTCTTGGGGGCCTATGGGGCAGTCTTTGAACCTCTTGGGGCCGTCACAGGGCCTTCTTTGAGACCTCTGGGCCTCTGGGGCGATCTTGGGGGCATCTGTGGCCGTCGGCAGGCCGAAAAGACTGATACGCTCAAATCCTTCCAAATCCTTGAGAAATTCAATGATTTTGGCCTCTTAGGGCCTTTTTGGGAGGGCATCCTGGGCCATCTTGGGTACATCTTGAGCCGTCCCTATGTGACCACCAAACGCGATACTGGGAGTGGCGGACGCATGCGGGCGGTCACACTGGGACCTTCGGTGGAGCTCAGTATGGGGCTACGAAGCGCTGTATTGGGTGTGGCGCGGATGCATGCGGGCGGTCCCACTGGGACCTTCGGTGGAGCTCCACATGGGGCCACGAAACGTTGTACTGGGTGTGGCGGACGCACGCGGGCTGTCCCACGGAGACCTTCGGTGGAGCTCCCTATGGGGCCACGAAATGCTGTACTGGGTGTGGCGGGCGCGTGCGGGCTGTCCCACGGAGACCTTCGGTGGAGCTCCACATGGGGCCACGACACGATGCACTGGGTGTGGCGGGCGCATACGGGTGGTCCCACTGGGACCTTCGGTGGAGCTCCCTATGGGGCCACGAAGCGCCGTACTTGGTGTGGCGGACGCATACGGGCGGTCCCACTGGGACCTTCGGTGGAGCTTCCTATGGGGCCACGAAGCGTGTGAGGGGTGCGCCGAAATGGAAGGGAGGCCGACATGGGTGGCGATGACGACCATGATAATGATAATGACGTCGATGACGATGATGGGAGGAGTGAGGAGGGAGGAGGAAGAAAGGGAAGAGGAGAACGAGGGGCGCTGTCGCTTAAAAACGAGGACCCAACACCACACACAGGATGGTTGGGAATAAGGGGTGAAACGAACCCGACTCATGGCGTGTATTGTAGAGCATCTTGTGCGATGCTGCAGAATGTCGGCATGCTCTTTGTGAGAGGAGTGCACCGCTTGGGAGTGCACCGCTTGCCATATCTAACATGCAATGTGTTTATTCGATGCTGGTCCGAGGTCCTCTCTACAAAGAGAAATTCAAGAGAGAAGCAGTAGCAGGAGGGGGAGGAGCAGCCGCAGGAGCAGGAAGAAGATCAACAAGAGGAGGAGAATGGGCTTGAGGAGCAGGAGGATCGGGATGAGCAGGAAAAGGCGGAGCGGGAGGAGGAGCAGACGGAGGAAAAGTAGGAGGTGGCAGAGAATGAGGGGGAGCAGGCTGTGCGATTCCGTTCGGCTCGTTGGCCCTCGCTCCGCGGAAACGTCCCGTCATGTGCGCACTCCGCCCGTGGGCCTGCGGGCCAGCGCGATGGGCACGTCTGCGATTCATAGCGACCCCGTCCCTGCCGCCACACCTCCGCCGACACCTCCGCCAGCACCCGCCCGGTGACTCTCGCCAGAGGTCAGGCCCGAAAGCACTGCCACAAGCTGGCGCCCTGAGGCGCCCAGCGGAGGCCTGGGGCCAGCGGTGGCCGCAGAGGGAGGAGGTCAGAGAACGAGACTGCGGCTGCCAGGCTCGAATGGGATACTGCCAGCAGACGCGCGCGAGCCAGGGCACGCCGCTGCGGCAGCTTCGCCTCCCGGCGCCTGAGCATGCGCGGCTCGGCCTGCGCCGCTGCTCCCTTCCGCGGAGCGACCGGGCCGGCGGAGTGCCAGCGCCCGGCACTGGCGGCGTCGGATCCCGTGCCCGCGAGCTTCTGGAGGTGGCGGGTGCACAGCGCATCCGAGCCGCGCGGAGCAAGGCGGGGAGCAGCAGCGCGGCGCGGCGCGACGCGGCGCACCCCCCCGAGCCAGGCGAGGCGAGGCGAGGCGGGTTCGAGGGGCGCGGCGGCCCGACGCGACGCGGCGCGGCGCGAGGCGGATCGGGCGGGTGGCAATGGGGGGTGACCCACATGGGGGGTGAGCAAGGAAAGGCCCTAAAGGGGCCCTTTAGGCTTTAGGGCCCCTTTTGGGCACCAGCTGGCTCCAAAAGGGCCCGGAAAGGCCCCCTTCTCTTCACCCTCCATTGGGCTCACCCCCCATTGCCACCCGCCCGAGCGGAGGAAGAGGAGGAGGAGGATAAGGCTATATGAATGGGGATGAGTGCGGCGCGGAATTGGGAGAACAACCTCAGAATGACACACATTTGCTGAGAGCCATTCGTTGTAGTCGTCACGGGAGGCCTAAGACAGGACGACGACGAGGACGAATATGAGGAGGCCGAACGGGAGGAGGCCAGTCTGGTGCTTGGGCGCACAGTGAACGGGTCGGCCCACGACCCCGCCCTCCGCCAGGGAAGAGGCGCCCCGCCTCTGAAGCAAGCCGCTGTCCTCGCGCTCGGCAGTGAGTTTCAGAGGACGGCTTGCATGTCGCATCGCCACGCGAGGGCTGTAACCCCTGTAATCTCTCCCTCTTGCTGGGCGCGTGGAGGGAGGCTTCCGCCTCTTTCCAGGACGCGGCAAGTCCAGCTCGGGGAGGGTGCCAGCAGGGCCCTGCGTGCAGGAAGCGAGCCGGCACGCTCGAGGGGAGCTCCGTGGCAGCAGCGACGGCAGCGCGACCTGTGCCGGACGCAGGCCGGCACGCTCGGAGTGATGCTCCCGACAGGGTCAGTGGCGGCAGCGCTCGCACCGTGACGAGCACCTGGCGCTTGGCGGCTCTCTCGGCGCTCAACGCTGGCAACGCGGTGTGGTGTCCGGGCCAGCCAGCATGTCTGCAGGGAGCTCCCAGGCAGTGGCGTTGGCGGGTCCAGGTGATCCAGAAGCGAACCTGGCTAGTGAGGCTCGTAGGCAGGCCACGGAAGGGACAGGCCCAGGGCAGCAAACAGTGAAAGTAGTCCCGCATCGCAGACGGACAACGTTGCCAAAGCACTGCGCTGCGCGCAGGGAACGTCAGCGCAAAGTGCACCACGTGCGAGCTTGGCCGTTCGCGAGGCGCATGGGAGGGAGACCGTCCTCGGGCATTTGCAATGATGGAGGTACTTGGGCATAGAGTAAGGACCCTTATAGTCAAGGCCAGATAGGGAAGAATAGGTTCATGTAGGGGAGAAGCATTGCCGTAGGAAGAGGTAGCCCGCTGGTGGGCAGATGAAGAGAGGCGAAGAATGAGGATGTGGACGAGGTGGGGTATGGGGAGAGAAGAGGGGAGGACGAGGAGGAGGGGGTGAGAAGGGAGAAGTGGATGGTGAATGAGTGCTTGTGCCCCTCAGTGCCCCATGAAGTCGCCCCCCGGGCCTCCAGCAGCTTGCGCAACCGAGGACGAGTAGGAGGAGTGCCTCGCCGGTGTGCCTTGTCCGCCTCGTCTTCCTCCGGCCCCCCCCGGGCATCCTGCGTCTTCGGCGCCGCCTCCCAGGGTTGGTTGCCGTCCGGGGTGCAGACCAAGCTGCTGGGAAGGGATCAGACGTTCTACAGGAGCCCTGCAGCCTGCGACGACGACAACGACGCTGGCGACCATTACGATAACGACCACCACCACCACGGCGACGATGACGACCACGACGACCACTACCACGACCACGACAACCACTGCCATGACGACGACGACGTGCTCTTCAAGCAATATACATCCTGCGGGTACTTCTGCTGCGCCTCAGCATCCCCCCTGGCATTTGCTCCTCCTCATCCATCGTTCTTCTCATGTTCGTCCTTAACCTTCTCCCATGCCTTGTGCGTGTTCCCAACGCTCTACTCGCGATAGGTTCGCAGTGCAGCAGTTTCCTATTTACGCTTCAGCGAGGCCGCGCCCAGGGCCCAGCGCTGATCCACGAAATCAGCGCGGAACTCAGAAAATATTATTGTTGTTTCTCTGTATTTGTCTTTCTCCCCGATCTTCCCACCTTCCCCCTTTTTGTCTAATTACGGTCGACCCCGCTTGCGAAGCAATTCGTCGGAGTTTTAACTCAACATCGTTGCTGGAATGTTCCGCGGTCGAAAACTGGCCCAATCCAGTATAGTTCCGCTTCGTCCAGCTGAATCGCCCCCAAATTGGCAGAAGCCTGGGCTGACTCCGGCCTAATCTGGCCCAATTTGGCACCCCAGTCGGGCTTTGTAGCCCTAAATTCTCGCTCGGGGAAAGGAGAAGCGACACCACCACCAGGGGGGCCACCTCCAGCGAGGAGGTCTACGATGCCTTCGCGAGCTGGAGATAGGAGATGTCTCGTGCGAGAGGGTGGGACAACACCACCAGGGGGGGCCCCCCAGGCTCCCTCCGCTGGTGGTCCCTGGTGGTAGTGGTGTCGCTTTTCTTTGCCCCCATCTTGTGAAGACCTCTGACGAGCTGCGCCCCAGCCTGGGCGCGTGCCCGACGTCGTCTCGCAGCCGCTCTGGCTCGGGCGTGGCCCTGCCGAGGGACCCACCGGGCGGGCTGCTCGGGCGTGGCATCGGGGCCCGGAGCGGCCGGCGTGGGGCCCCGCGGCGCGCGGGGGATGGGCGAGGTGCTGAGCGCCATCGGGTGCTCGGGCCGGCCGGTCTACACGGAGGCGGCCACCTGGTACTGCTCGGGTGCTGCCAGGGGTTCGGTACGATCGGAGCGGATACGGAAAGAGCGGGCACGATGGCCGACACCATTTCGTGTTCCTTTTGAGCAGGGTTCGCGGTCGGTGTCGCCGCGGGTGTTGGTGGCCATTTGAGAGAGAAGGCCGCCTGCCCAACAGCGGCCGCTGTCGTTTTGGACACGATTTGTTTTTCAGCATCGTGCCCTCTTTTGTCCGTGCCACTCTGGGCCTTCCGAAGAGGCGACCCAGACCCCCAACGGAACTGTTCCTTTATTGTTCTCAGCTCCTCGTGGCCCTCGCAGGGCTCAGGAGCATCACCTCAATCGCTAAGGACGACAAGCCGTCCAGTGGGAAAGGGCCAGGACTTCTGGAGAGCCCGCGCTGAGAGAGCAACACGTCGGATCCTTTTAGGGATCTCGGCCCAAGGTCCTCTCGGATGTCCTCTCCACCTTGAGGACAGTGGGCCCTCTGGGCCTCGTGAGGGGTGCTGCGTCCCCGGGAGAAGGAGCTCCAGAGGAGGAGGAGGAGGAGGAGAAGGAGGAGGAGGAGGAGGAGGAGGAGGAGGAGAAGGAGCAGGAGGAGGAGGAGCAGGAGGAGGAGGAGGAGGAGGAGCAGGGAGGACGAGGAGGAGGAGGAGGCGGCCTGGGCCTCCTTGGAAGAGCCGATGCCAGCTTCGGCCAGGGTGCCCTCTGACAGCCCCCGCACTTCGTGCGGCACGCCCGCGGCGCGCAGGGCCCCCTCGGCGAGGCCCCTGCCGACGCGGAGCCGTCGCTGGGGCGCGAGGGGGCGCGGCAAGCCGGGGCCATGCGCCGCGGTTGTCGGCGGCACACACCAGGGGGGAACTCGGGGGTGGACATAACCCCCAACAGTGACACGTCGATTAGTGAATTGTCCGTTTTCGGTTCTCGAGAGGGCGCCGTGGCCGTTATTTTCCAGGCTTCGCCCGCCAGGTTTGGGCCTCAGGTCGTTTTCACTAAACCACGTTTTGCTAAAGGGGGTTCTGTCCATCCCCGAGGAACGAAGAAGAAGACCAAGAAAAACAAGAAGTGTAAGACAAATAACAACAACTTGAAGCAGGCGAAGAGCAATACACTGCGTAGACACAAACTTTCGGAGCTCCGCGCGGATTCACTGGATCGGCGCCGGGCGCCCCTGGCGGTGTCTCCAGCGCCGCCCCTGGCGCGCTCCGCGCCCCAGGTTGGGGGGTCCAGCGCGGATCCACGAAATCCGCGCGGGGGCCTCGAGAACTTTTATGATGTTGATGCAGTTGTTGATCTTCTTAGGGGTGAAGCGACGACGACCTGGACGTCGTCGTTCTGGAGTGTTTGGGGCGTCTCTGGAGGTTCTCTTCGCCGCGGCTGAGCGCGGCTCGACAGACTGCCCAGGACGGATCCCAGCAGAGATCTTGGCCAGGGATTGGTCTTGAGCAGCATCGGGTTGAGGGTGGTGGCCTTCTCAGGAGGCTTCTAAGAAGCTTCCAGGTCCTCCCAAGCTGTTCCCCTGTGCCTTCTTAGAAGCCCCTCCCTTGCAACACGGTCTTCTCGCGACGTGGACCCCTGGAGGTCTCGACCCATTCCCTGGATTGGGATTTCGGCCCCAGGGCCCGACAAGGCCCCCATGATGCCGACAGCGAGGAAACATTTCCCGTCGTGATTTTGCTCGCGACGCAAAGTGGGCCTGGGTTGTGCGCGTCGCCGAGGTTGGCTGAAAGAGGAGGGCCTGGACGTGGACTTCGGCGGCGACCTGCCGCCCAGGTGTGAGGATGCAATCCCTGAGAGAGGAGATCAGCATCGGCGCGGGAAATCCGTGGTCGAGAGTCGGCCCAAACCAGCACCATCCCGCCTATCTGGGCACGGTCCCGCGCAATCCCTTCTCGCTCGGAGCTCTCGTGTTTTTATCCTGGGCTCAATCTTGGCTTGTCCAGCATTGTGGCCCCCCCCCAATCGGGCCCACGGCCCGTGACCGCTCTCGCGCAGACCTCCGGGGAGCTGCCTCCCCACAGGTGGCACGTGGTCTCCTCGGACACGGCGCTGTGCATGGACACCGCGCGGAGCCTGCTGCGGCTCGACGCGCTGTCCGTGACTCCGGTGCCCTTCCTGCGCTCGGGACTGCCGGCGGCCGCGCGTGCCCTGGACGTGGACTTCCCGTGCGACGGGGGCGGCGCTCGGAGGAGGGAGAACATACCGATGCCGCATTCTGGAGTCCGAGGCGGGGATTTGCACATGACCACCGCCTGGAGGATCAGTTTTCGGGGACCTCGGCAGGCGGTGGATATGGATATGTTCGGGCCCCTGGGGGCCACGAGGACGTCGGTTCCCAGGCGGTGGATGTGTAGAAGCTCCCGCCTCGCATGGAGAGCCCCAGACCTCCAACGTAAGGAGGAATTCTAGACTCTGTTTTTTTTCGCAGTCTTCGGCCTCTGCGGGCCCTCGCCGGGCCCCGGGGCAGTCAAAGAGCGACTCGGGACCAGAAGCTTGTCCCAGGGAATGCCCCGGACCTCTGGGGGTCCACACGGTGAACAAAATGACGAAATCGGGGGTTTGGGGGATACTGTTGACCCTAGGAGGTCTTTTTGCACTTTCCCCATTTTTCCCCCAGCGGGAAAGAAACTCCGCCCCTTCTCCTCCTCCTCCTCCTTCTCCTCCTCCTCCTCCTTCCTTCGCAGTCGTAGTCGTAGTAGTCGTCGTCGTCGTTGTTGCGCGGCGGGTGCCGCGGATAAATAATTATATCCCATTATTTGCGGGACCCCAGTCCGTCAACAAGGGCATCGAAAAGGATACATCTTTCTATTTTTTGCGGGGGATTTCGAAGTCCTTCCTCGTTCATACCATACCCTTCCCGCGTCACCACGTCTGGACTTCCCTCGATGCTCTTGTCAAAGCGCACCCCGGGGAGAGGTCCGGGGAGGTAGCGGCATCGGTGCCCTCTGGTCACCCCAAAGGCGCGCCGGTGGGGGCGCTCCGGCGTCACGCGGAGGACGCCGAGTCCGGCGTGCGGGAGTACGGCGTGCAGGCGCTGTGCGAGATCCTCGGGACCATGCAGCACGCCGGGGCCGTGGACGTCGTGGTCGTCATCTCGGCGGCGAGCGCGGGGGGGAAGTGAGAAGGGGCGGGCCTCCTCAGAAGGCTCGGAAGTCCCCTGGCCTTCTGAGGCATTTCCTAAGCCTTCCCCGAAGACACCGACAACCTTTCAGAAAGCTGGAGGCCTTCTGAGACTTTCTGGGGAGGCATTCTCCTTCTCACTTCCCCCCCTCGCTCGCCGCCGATCATCGGCCACGCCGTGGCGCTGGCGGCCATCGCGCTGGAGCTGGCGGAGATCCGGCAGCTGAAGGCCACGGAGGTTCTGCTGGACACGGAGCAGGGCGAGTGCACGGCCCTTAAGGTGTCCCAGGTCGAGGTCAGCTACCTCGGCGGCTCGGGGGGCATCCAGGGTATCAGTGCGGCCGCCATGGAGGCGTGAGTGTTCATTCTTGCCAGGAAGCTCCACGCACGTGACGCAGTCAGCCTGGGCGAGAGCTGGATTGTCGGGAAAACGTGAGACTCGAGTAAGCCGGAACTCGGGTTTGCCGCCTTTTTTTGACCACCTCCTGGCCACGTCGGCAGACCATGACTACTCCAAGGAATTGGTGGTGGCAGGGCTACGCCAGACGTCAGCCCCGACTCCGACAATGACATTGCGTCGCGCCGGCAGATTCCTTCCTCCTTGGCCCCTCACGTTGCTTCGCCGCCTCATCCTTCCTCTCTCGTCGTTCCTCTGTCCTCTATCATCCCCCCTCGCCGCAACTGTCCCCGACCCGAATCCGCTCAAACCAATTCTAGATGCTTCACGTATCCCCACCAGCCTTCCTGCCACCTGGGCGGCGCGTGCCGCTCGCACCCGCCCTATCGGCTCTTCCCCTTCCGGTCACTCGCCTGTCTGCCTGTCCTCCGCTCCTTCACGCCACCGCCGCGGCGCGGGCGCCGGTCCCCGCCTGGTGGCAAGGCACCCTCTCGGTGTCCGGCGCGCCGATCTGGTCTGTCGGGCGCCTGCATGCTGGGGATCCCCCTCGCAGTGGTGACCTCGCTGTCTTACGCTCCGCGGTCCGACGGCGCGTCCTGGGCTCGCTGCTCGTCTAGTTGGAGGTCTTCTGTGTGGACGCGGGGCTGCCCTCGAATTGCACCATCATGGTTCTGCAGTTCGCCCGGAAGATCTTCCAGGTGAGCGCCGTCTTCTGAGCGGCAGCGAGGCTCGCCTCCTGTTTGCCCCCCCCCCCCCGCTTGGTAATTTCTTTTCCGCGTTCGTCTTCTTCCTCTGTTCGGTTTCCTCCTCCAGTGCGCTAATTTAGGCGGGTGCATCTGCGCTTCGTTCCTGTACGCCGCCCGACCTGTCTCGCCGCGGTCGCGATCTAAGAGTATCCCCACCAGCCCATCCAAAAACAATTCGCTTCGTTCGTCGCTCGAGCCAGGGCAGAAAAACTAGAAGCACGCAGTGGAACCACCGCCTTGAATTTGTTTCGGGGTTTCTGAACCGGCGGGAGCATGTGTTGAATGATGTAACGAACGTTCCCATGACGCGATGGTTTATGTGGGGTCTTCTGGGGTCCCTCGTGTAGTTATCTTGAAGCCGTCTCGGGGCGGGCCGGCTATCTTTGGCAACGGGAGGAGTAAGGAAGAAACGAAAGCGGGATAAATAATAATGGACGAACAGGATGAACCAGTCGATGAATGGTGGAGGATGAAAGAGACGAGGAAGACAGGGACGACGACAACGACGAGGCAACGATGTAACCGTCGCGGAACTTTCGGTCCGCGAGCTTTTTGGAAGCGTATTGACACCCCCCGCGAAGACCCTTCACAGACCCCGCAAAGAGCCTGCAACGATCCTGCAAAGACCTTGCAATGACTTCCCACAAACCCTGCAAAGACCGTGCAATACCCTGCTGTCCGAGTCATCGTAAAGCCTCGGATGGCCATCGGCAGCGAAAATGCGAGAATGCAACCACCTTGGTTTTCCTTAGGTTGTTCAGTGGTTTTTGTTTCGTGGGGCCCTCTTGGGGCTCCTACGGTGGCCTTCTAGGCGCCGTCCCGAGTTCACGAAGGTATGGGAAGCCTCTCGGGGCAGATTTGAGCACCATGGCTAGACATGGCGAAAGTGTTATTCAATCGTTTCGCTCATTCCGCCGGCCCATATTGTAGCATCGATGGCACTTGCTTGCGTGCTTGGGGGGGCATTTGGGGGGCCTCCTGGGGCCGCTTGGGGGCCTTTTCCGGGGGCGTCCTGAGGGCCTCGTAGGGGGCATCGTAGGGCCTTTTGGAGGCCCCTTGGGGCCTCTTGGGAGCCTTTCGGGGGCCTCTTGGGCGCTCCTGGGGGCCTGTCGGGGCCGAGGGCTCGAAATGTCAGTGCGGGTCTCCCGTCTGGAGCCTCTCTTGGAGCCGTCTTGGGGGCCTCCTTGGCTGTCCTGGAGGGTTCTTGGGTCGTCTTGGGGCCCTCTGGTGCGGTTTTTGTTTTGGGGGCCTCTTGGGCCGTCTTGGGGCGATCTTGGGGGCCTCTTGGGCCGCTTTTGACGTTGTGAAAGCTCAGGTGGCGAATATAGTAAACATATACGTTTTGCGAAAGGAATCGGACGATTGTTGCCTCTTGGGGCCCTCTTGGGACGCCTATTGGGGGCCTGCTTGGGCGTCTGGGAGCCATGTTGGGCGTCTTGAAGCGAGCGTGTGGCACCTCGGAGCACTCTTGAACCATCTTGGGGGGCTCTTGGCGGCCTCGCGGCCCTTCTTGGGGCTCTCTGGAAGGCTTCGAGGGCTGCGCCCAGGAGGAAAACCATCTCAGAGTCGGACCGTCCGGGTTCTCCCGGGACCTTGCCGTGGTATTTTTTGCCTGGGGACCCCCAGGGGTCGCCCCGCGCGCGCGAACTAGACATATTGTTAACCAGTTACCGGAGATCTTAGCACGCCTCTGGCCCGGTGGGCCGGCGAGTTTAAGACCCCCCCTTCAGACTCAAAAAGGGCGCCTTGGGGCCATCTCGGGGCGCTCTTGGGCCCTCTTGGGGCCCGCCTGGGCCACTCCTGGGGCTCTCTTCGGCCGTATTGGGGCCACCTTGAGGCATCGAAAGCCCATCGGAAGCGAAAATATGAGAATTCAAACAACATTGATTTCCTTCAGGTGTTTGAAGGTGTTGGGCCTCATGAGGAGGTCCTTGGAGGGCTCGGGGGCCCCTTGGGAACGTCTTGGGGCTGTCTCGGGGCCCCTTGAGGTATGATGGAGGATATCTTGAGCCGTCTTGAGCTAGCATGAGCCATCTTGGAGGCCCTCTTGAGCCTTCTTGGCCCTTGGGGTCTCCGAGGCCCTCTTGAGCCTTCTTGGGCGCTCTAGCTACCCGCGCCCGCCCCCCCTCTCCCAGCCAGGGGAGGGGGTTTGGGGAGGGGTCAAGACACCCTCCAGATAGCAAGCCGTCTAGCTCACTCCCAACCGCCCTCCCAACACACAAGTATCACCCGAGCCTCAGCATGTGCCGCGGCCGTCTTTTGATGGACAGCTACTGGGAACCAAAACCGAGCACATGTGCGCGTCGCTGGGGCGAGGTGCGCCACGCGTGCCAGGCGCGCCACGCGCGCCAGGCACCCCTGGGGCCCGAGCGTACCAGGCACGCCTAGTGCGCCAGATGCTCCTTCCAGCAGCGACATGTGCGCCACGTTCGGGGCACGTGCAGAGTGTGTCAGGTGCGCCTGCACACATGACAGCACATATCGGGAAACATGTCGGCCCCCACCATCCCTGTCGAAAACCACTGCCCATCGTTGTGTCTGGTGGGCCTGCGCACAGCAGGCCATAAACCACCACACCCTCCGTTCCTGGCAAAAACCACTTGACAATGATCGCGGGGTGGCCGCGCACTCTCCAAATTCAGCCGCGAGGTGCATGTTGTATTGTGTGTTTGTCAGGGATGGTGGCGCTGCGCGCAGCAGGCAATATGCTGACCCCCCCGCCGTCCCTGTCGAAAACCAAAACTAAGTGCCCGCGGGCCTCACGAACATGACTCCAGACTTTGCCCCAAACTGTACCGTGGTCGGTTGCGCGTTGGGTTGGTTGCGCATGCTCCGAAGTTGGAGGCAGAGTGCGTGTTGGATTATTTTTTGACAGGGGTGGTGGGGGTGGGCCCTCATGGTGTGCGCATGGTTCCCGGTTTGCTGCCGGCCGGCTGGGGGAGGGGGTGTTTATTAATGGGGAACAGTGATAACCCCCTCCCCCGAGCAGGGGAGTCAGGGAGTTCTGGCACAGAGACGGCACAGCTGGTTGAACCACCTACGCCCAGAGGGCTGGTGGGATTCCAGGACCAGGACCAGCGTCCAGCCGTGGTGACGAGAACCTTCAGGGACGTCTAGCACCCTCCAGAAAGACGACGGTGACGACGTCGTAGTCTTGATGACGATGGTGAGTGGGGTAGCCGCAACGAGGACTTTACCCACATAAGTAAACTATACCCGAAAGGTACTTGGTGAAGGTCCCATCTGCAGAGCACTGACCCCCAGCTGGTAAACCGCGGCCATCATTCTCAGATCGTTTCGCAATACTTGGCGACATCTCCAGCATGATCCAGCCAGACGTCGCCGTAGCGCTGGGAACAGACGTCCAAACATTTGCAGGGAAATCCCGCCTCCTTGTGGTATTTAGCACTTGATGTGCAGAATAATCTGAAGGACGGTGTATGAAACTCGGCCCTAGTGCCCCGCACTGTGCCCAGTGTCCCCTTGTTGGCCGCCGGTTCTCCGTGGAAAATGCACCAGCCAGGAGGGTGCCCGCGAGCTTCCTGTCCGACGTGGAGGGACTCTCCGGGTAGAGCTTGTCGCCTGGGCTCGCCTCGAGGTCGACCTCCTGAGATCGACTCTGCAATCCTGTGCGTTGAGTACAACGTACTCCGCACCTTGCTCTGAGCATATGCTGTACCCACTTGGCATAGCGTTCTTCTTCTTCTGGTCGGTGTATCCAGGGGCGGCCTTGCGCATCTGTCAAAACTTGGGCCAATCGAGCCACTCTGTGATCGCCATCCTCCCCCCTCCTGAGAGGACAAGCTCGGTTCGCTGAGCAACGTATGTACGCTAGCCCGATGAGGCTAATGGAGTTCACCATGATCATGCCCACGAACTGTGACCATACCCATCGGACGTGCTTGACTGTCGTGACGGCCTGACAGGTGGCCGAGAACATTGCATGGTAATGAGGTGTCGTGCGCCACAAACGTCCGTGGTACCAGCACTCGGTGCCTGTGCGCCGGATGGCCGCTCGTAGCTTCTTTGCCGTGTCCGCAGGACAGCCTGTGGACAGCGGTGCTTACCATTCCCACCATGGGCGGACATATCACACTGCAAGCCGTTCGCGACATCTTGCTGTCGCTGGAATAGAAAGCCACGTGCATGTATTGCTATGTGAAACTTTCCCCCTCCACCTCACAGGCCGATAGGGTAATCTGGAAACTTATCCTGCAGCAAGTGAAGCACCGCCGTCATCGAGCGGTGGTCCATGTGCGTCTGGCTGCTGATTGGCTCCCACGTCGTGCGCATATCCTGGGCCTCCTGTAGGGCTGTCGGTGATGCACTTCTGATCTCACGAGTGATGCCCGCTGCGGGCACCTCGAGCGCATCGAAGGGAAGTGGGAGACTTGTTGCTTTAGACTGAAGCCCCCCTTCCCAGGCAGCTTGTGCCCACTGTCTCTGGTGAAGAGAGAGTGGCGTATACTCAGGACGTCCATCTCCATCTGATCCAATGTAAGTCAAGAGCCGACGATGAGGACAAAGTAATCTACGAAATGCGATAGTCTGATATTCCCTCCAAGCGCCCATGGCGACCACAGGTCCCATCTCGGGGAGAGGAACTTTCTTTCCCTCGTGCTGTCTGTCGACGTGTGGTCCTCCACTGGACCGTGCGTTCTGAGCAAGGATTTCTTTATCCAGCAAAGCCTGCCTCCCCTCCAGCACATAATGTTTGCAAGAGGGAGTAATTCCACCCCAAGCAACCTGGCGAGAGGGAGAGGTGGCCGTGGCAACGTTTTGTTGTTTGAACAATCTGGGCACCTCTACCCCCCACGAGCTGGTGTAGGTCCCTCAGCACCTTGATGTGACCGTGCTCGTACTGGTATTTGCGAGGGGCGGGCTAGTCAAGAGGAGGCTGCCGCAGGCCGCCTTCTCCACCGATGCGTCTCCCTCTCACTCTGAGCCAGTTGTATGCTGTGTTCCGTCATTGAGTTCGCCCGTCCTGGGAAGCACGCTGTTGCTTCATGCTCCGACCTGCATGAGCCGAGAGGGCTCTGGGCATTTGCTTGTTGCCTTTGCCGTGTTGATCCACTCGACGAGGTTGTTGATCGGGACGATCGCCCGCCTCCAGTGAATCCATCTGGACATGGGAGGGCCGCTTCCCTCCACTCCTTCTCCGTCTTCTCACGTTGTGTTGTTGCGGCAGATGTCTTCCATTGCAGGGGTCGGTAATGCTTATCTTTGAGCGTGACCCAGATGGCCTTCTTGTACTTCACATTGGGGCCCGTGAGTAGTGCCCATCTGCCTTCAGTGAACTTCCAAAGGCAAATGTCCAATTTCACACTCATCGATGTGGCTCGGACCCCCAGCGTGTCGACGCACTTGCCCGCTGTTCCCAGGCGTTCAGCGTCCTTCTTCGTGGCTCCGTACTCCTGCCAGTGTTGGTGAATCTCACTCGCAACCTTTTGCTGTATTGCGGCTTGAACTCTTCCGCCGACTTGCATCTCTTCATTTATGAGGGGCTTGGCACCTGTCCTCCATGCATCCAGTTGGTATCCTGCACACAGGAAAAAACAATCATCTCCCCCACCTTTGTCCACTTCGTCCATGTGGTTACGCCAAGGAGGAGCTTGGTCTCGCACACATGATACTTTAGCAGGGGGGCCCTCCTGCCCTGGTGTTGGTGGACGACTTTCGCCCGTCGGCTGAGGAGCCTCACCTGGAGCTGCGGGGTCGCTGATGTCGTCGTCCGAGGAGGGCACGTCATCTTGGGGGACGTACTTTAGCGCAGCCACTCTCCACGCACTGCGGGGCTTGGCTCCTTCAGGTCTGGGATGCGTACGTACCGTGGCCTTCGCCAGTGATAAGATGACCCCCAATGAGAAACTGTACTCTTGAGGCAGGGAAGTCTTCCCTGAAGAACCAGTGCCTTTTGCTTGTCCTGGCCATGTTCGTGATATTCAAGAAACCTATTTCCGTCGCCTGGCGCTGTAGTTGAATGGGATCACTCCAGTCCGCGGGGGCTCGTGGTACACTCCATCTCGGCAGCACGTCCTGTATCGACAGGGCCTCCTCCGACAAGATGCCGAGCGGGGTGTCGTGCGAGGGGCGTTAGACCAGGCGGCCATCAATAGGTATAGCCGCCGAACGGACTCTCGTCATGTACTTGTTTGCCTCCTCCTCTTCTCGTCGCTTTTCGAATCATCGAGGGATGATCGCCGTCTTCTGAAGATAGAGGAATATCCCGCACGGCAGGGCCATCTTCACAAATCGATCAAGCTCAGGCGTTTTGAGCAACAAGATTGCGATCTCTGACTCGTAGTTGATCGCACCCTTGGTGCGCAGGATAGCTTGGCGCAGGGTTGAGCCGAACCCCAGCGATGCTAGACTCACTGGGCTCTGGGCTGCCCTGCCGTAGAGGTCGTCTGCACAACATTTCCCTGGCTGCGGTCAATCTGCACACCGAGGCTGGGCACGCCGGTTGGGATGCAGCTCCTGGAGGGTCCAATTCTGATTTTGCACTGGTCCGCAGTCTTGCTTAATCCGGCCTGCTCCGGCTTAATCCCGTTCAATCCCGCCTAATCCGGCTTAATCCGAGGCCCACTCCAGCGTAATAGCTCCCAAATGGGGCTGAATCCTCCTTAATCTTTCCGGCGAAAACCTCCCAGTAGTTGCCTCCTAACGTTTGTATTGTCATATTTGTTCCATCCTTCACTTCTGGAGGCAATCTGCGTGGCTCTGGAGCTTTGGACCCGATTCTGATCATGTGTGCGGCCTTTGGAGCTACCCCCTCGTCCGTGTGCGTCAAAAATTTGGTACTGATTGCTTCACCGCCCAGGTTCGCCGTGTTGAATACAATGAAAGTCGCATCCGTCCCCGAAGACGCCTGCAACTACATCTTCGCATCATTCAGCTCCTGCACGCTTGTGCACACCAAGACTGGGGGCTCGGCATACATGCGGTTGCTGGTCGGGTTTGTTGTCCACAGGGGACTGCCTGGCCACTCTGACAGCACCAGCTTTGGTGCCTGAGTCGTCTGCTTCTTTGTAGCCGAGGGATTGCCAGGCGTACTCTGCCCCTGGCCAGGCCCCTGCCCCGTCGTAGTATTGTGTGGATCTCTAATTAGCTCACGTAGCTTTTTGACGACCTGCTGATGTGTCGGATTTGCGCCCACTTTGTCAACCTGTTCAGGAAGGGTTCAAATTTGCTTCAATATCCTGGGCTGATCTCTCTGCTTCTTATGCTTGTTTGCTGGCTTCGGCGACGTTGCAGCTGGTACATGAGTCCCCGGTGACTGTGCCAACCGCTGAACCACCGACGTTAGATTCTCCATTTGGGCGGCAAACTGGTCAACCCGAGCACCCCGCCCGCGTGGAGCACTCCGTCCCCCCGCACCTCCTCCACCTCCGATGAGCGGACCCTCGAAGTAGAATTGGTCGGCCTCCACAGACGACAGGATCGCGACCTCTTCTGGCTGTATCTGACGCGCCACGATGGCGCTGCATTGGCTGTACTCGGCCTCGGCGGGGGCCGTCCCGTCAACACCACGATGGAGGTGCACAGCTACGTTGACGACGTCGTTGTCTTCGCCCAACCCCTCCTCTTCCTCCTCTATCCCTCCGCCTTCTCCCCGCTGCGTCCTGCCTCCTCCCTGCTGCCTTCATCTCTGTCATGCCCCTTTCCCCTTCCCTCCTCAACGCTGTGCCAGGCTCGGGCACTGGCAGACAGATGTCCCATTTCGGGTTACTGAAGGGCCAGTAGAATCATGTCTGGCCGAGCTGCCAGAAGGCTAGGAAGAACCCTCTGCCAGAACCGTGTTGCTGAAGCCAATGCACGAGTTCCGAAAAAAAACAGCGAACAGCATAAACACAAAGGTTCGGAGGTCCGTTTGGATCTCTTGGATCCGGTCGGACGCCCCACGTTTATGTTTACTCCGACAGCTTGGTCTAGAGGTAGGCTTGGCCATGATCTTTGAGCACGCCAAGAAGTTATCATGGCATCGGGCCCCTATCAGCCGACAAGGTACGCGACAGACAAAAATCGGTGACCGAGAACGTGCCCGAAGTCTGACAAGTGTGGCCGAATTTGTGACCAGCATTGAACATCGTTTTCGTTTCGACCCAAGAGTTTCGGTCGCACTCTGGCGAGTTCGGACAAATTTGGGCGGCAATTTTAGTCACGCTCGGGCAGATGTTCGGGCACAGTTTCGGTCACTACACTCCCCTCATGGAATCGCGACCGCATAGACGTTATTGGCCAGCCCTTGAGGACCCGCAGTGGCGGGCGTGTATAATTGCGGCGCTTCTGAGCTCCCAAGCACATTTGGAAGCCCTCGCTCGTTGTTCTTGACGGCATGATCTGTGGGTGCAAGAGTTCTGAGTCGCATTGCCGAGGCCGTGGCCTCTGTCGATTAACGTAGATGTTGCCGCAGATGGATGTGCGTGGCGATTCTCTTCGGGATGCCGCTACGCCAGGGCTTGACGTGTTTGCGATACGGGAGGGGGACCGCTGCTTGAAACGTTGGCGACGGTGTCATGCGGACGGTATCCATTCCATGTTATCGGTGCGCTCACCTCCCTGCCGATGACGGGGTTTCCACTTGCATATTCTCGATCGCATGTTCTCGATCTGGATGAATGCTTGTTTGTGGGAGCCCCCTCGACACGCCTGGGCTTGGTCAGTGCTCCCACCAGCAGGGTGTTCACCCAACACTGCTCAGAAAGTCTGCTCCTGGCAAGGGCCTCACGGCGTCCGAAAAATCTTCTCCGCCAGGCGTGTGCAAAGCCTTTGCGCGACATTCCCCAGTCTGGCTGAGTTTTGCAGCTTAGGTCAGCCTGAACCAAGAGACGTGTCAAATCATTTCTACCAAAGAACATCTTACCGCCACATATCCAGAGCATAATATCGATGCCGAATTGGGTCAACGACGCGCACCAACATGAGGAATTCCAGAGGGATGCTTCGGTTAATGGATACGTCAACCAGTACTGTATGACAAACCCCGAGACGTATATGGAACCAAGTCTGACACATGTGATATGTAGCCTCTGTGAGTTGTCATGTCGTTTGGGTAGACATGTTCTACTCCAAGCTCGTGCAGCCAAAGATCTTGCTAGGCAGATCTGTGTTGCGAGACCCGGACAGGAGCTCGGACGTTTCCGTCGCCTCTCCGTAGAGTCCATTTCCTAGGCCCATGGGGTCCACGAGGCCATGACGACCCGGGTGGGCAGGAACTGTTTGGAGTCGCAGCCGTTCCGAAGAGGTATCTCTCGACTTCTTTTGGACCTGCTTCTGAAGGGGCTGCTGCTGCGGCTTCTTATGCGGCGGCACCTCCCCTCCTTCCCTCCCCTCCTCCAGTCCGCCATTGGTTATCATTCTTAAGGGCGGATCGCTTAGATCGTGTTTCCCGAGGTTTGTGGCCCAAGGTCTGAAGCAAAGCCGAGAAGGCCCCAGAGTTGCCTGGGGTTTGATGCAGCTTTGTACTCAGCAACTGGCGCTTTCGCAGGAGCCCAAATCCGTAACTTTTTCTTCTCTGCGGAGGAGGCTTGCCTGTATGGCCATCCGTATTTGCAGCGCAGTCGCTCTGCACTCGCCTGACCTTGCACTCGAGCCAGTTTGCTCCAGGTTGATCCGCCGATTGGAGTCGGGGCGCGTTCAGTATATGAGTCCACAGGCAAAGAACAGGCTCTCCCCGCCTCTTCCTCACTGCAGCGTAGTCAGCGAGCATGCGGCGCAAGAGAGCAGCCCGGACGCAGGCGCCGGAGTATTGGCAGACATGCCGCCGTCGGGCCTTGTCCCGCCAATATACGGGTGTGTGTATGTAGATACATATATATACACATATGTTGTATGTACATTTGTATATACAAGCATATCTATATATACATACACATACATATATATACATATATATATATACATATATATATACACGTATATCGGCAGGGGGGGCGGGCCGCTGCCCGTACCCCCCACGGGCGCCCCCGGGGAGGTTCTGGCGGGGTCCCGAGCTCCCGAGACGACCCGGGCCCGCCCCGAAACAGGCCACGACAGGCTAAGGGGGTCCCAGGAGGGCCCAAGACGGTCTCAAGAGGCCCCGACGACGCCCAAGATGCCCTCAAGACGACCGACGATGCGTGGCGTTCTCTCTTCTCCCGCTTCCCCGCGCTCCCTCACGGCCTCGGAGGCCCTTCTGTTCGCTCCAAGACGGCCCACGAGGGCCCAGGAGGCTCCCCAGACAACCCAAGTGTGCCCAAGAGCGCCCCACGAGGAGCCCAGAGGGGGGACCGCGAACTGATGTTTCGAGGTCTCTGGCTTTCCAGGCCCCCAGTGGGCCCCCGGAGGCCACAAGGAGGTCCCCACGAAGCCCCGTGAGGCGCCCAACAGTCCCCAAGAAGCCCCAAGAGGCCCCCGAGAGACCCCCAGGGAACGTCCAAGAGGCCCCCCAACACACCCCAACAAATCATGTCCCTTCGGGGGGCATGGTTCGTCATGGGCCCGAGAGCTTCCGGAGGCTCCGAAGTACCATCACGCTACCAGAGAGCTGTCTGGAAGATTTACTGGGAACATGACTGATCGCCTTCTCGCGGCCCTCCGCAGATCGTTTCGCACAAAGTTGCCCCACGTGCCTTCTTGAAACGACGATGGCGACGACGACGACGACGACGACGACGACGGTGACCACGACGACGACGACGGTGACCACGACGACGACGACAAAGCGACGAAGAGGACGACGACAACGACGACGACGACGACGACGGCGCGCCCCAAAGAGGTGACGATGACATTACGACGACGACGACGACGGCACGCCCCAACAGGCTTCCCAAGACGCCCGCCAAACCCATGTTCTCAGAAGGCTTTCTAGGAACTCGATTCATCAGGCCTCCGCCACCTTACGCAACCATCTTCCCCGAAAGCCTTCCGGAATGTGGATTGTCATGCATGAACTTCTCATGGCCCACAATGCGTTCAGCGTTATGGACATTTCTTCACTTCCCGTTCAAACCATTTGTGGGCCACTACTTGAGGCATCGTTCACGCGCAGCGGCGCAGCCACGTGCGGTATCGTTCACGCGCACTTGCGATAGCACAGGTTTCTGTAGTATGCCCAACCACTCGACCTTGCTGAAGTGCAAATGCCTGCGTTCGATAAGTCTCAGCGTTCTCTTTTGGGTGTCCTTTCCGTTTGCAAGTACATGTGCGAAGCACATCCATTCACTCGGATTGTTCTGACTGCGCGTTTGTTTTGACCGCTCAGGGAGAATATCCACGAGGCTCCTCGATTCTCTGCTCCGTCTCCTCCTCGTCCTCGTCTTCGAGGTACAAGAGTCCATGTGGGTGTCATCCTGGGGCGCGTCCTGACCAAACGTTGCTCAAAGAGGTTCGGAACGCCGAAAGGCCTGGCGGATCGATCCTGGATCAAAGGCCGACGATGTCGACGGCGGCGGCGGCGACGACGAGAGACCGATACGAAGAGAAGGGATGAGTATGTTCAAAGCACCTAGATAGCACCACGATGCCTGGCCCAGGCCATCCTGGGCCCTGGCATGAGAACCTCCTGGTTGAGGCCAGGAGGCCGACCCACCCACGCCGATTTGACGAAAAACTCGACGCCTGCGGCGGGCTCGTGTCGTGATGCGGTCCGGAGGACATCGGCGCCTCCAGCGGGTTCCTTCAGTTCTTCGCAGGCTGCCCTCGACCCCGCCGCCCCCTCGCTCTTCTCCGCCACTCCGGGGCGCCACGCGACCTCCAGGCCGAGGCCAGGAGGACCAGCACACCATACACCATCACGAAGGAGGACAAGCACGGCCCTGATGCCCAGGCGTGGCGGTGGTGCTTCCGAGGGCGGCGCGGCCACCCCCCGGCGGCAGCGCCCGGCCCGCAGGCAGCGCATGCACGACATGCAGGCGCCCCGCGGCCCCCGCGCAGCCCAGGGCGCAGCGAGGGAAGGACGCACCTCGTCGGATTCGGGCGACTGGGTCCTTTGCAAAGGGGGGGGTGAACATGTGCGCACTGTTCGTTTCTATTTTTTTGGCAATGTAAGATAAGATAAGACCCATCGCGAAGCGAGTTCAATATTAATTCGGATGATCTAGCCGCCTTTTTTTCAGCTTTGCTGAGAACTCTGGGCATTTGACCTTGAGGAATACGATCGAGATAACCTCGCCGTGCTTTGGTCAGTGGGATTCCTGGGGGGGCCTTACACTCATCAGCCAAACCTCGGAGCTGCTGCTGATGGTAGCACCCACACGCCGCATAATACCACAGAGACAGGGATTCTTGATAAAGCATGTGTTGAGACCCATGGACCCACCCTCCAGCGAGATGCAGACGCTTCCCCCGAGGAGCCCTCAAGACCCCTGAGGACTGGTGCTCAAGCTGGAAACATGCTGATTCGATTTTTTCCGCAGCCACAGTCGTGGATCCATTGCAAGCCAAACATTTTTTCCCACACTCCGAGACGCGATGGCCAGTGCAAAGAAGGGCCACCGTGGCAGGCGCAGGAGGTGAGACCCTGGGACGCGCACGGGCCCTTCGGGGGGCCTTTTTTTCCATCAAACGCAGCGGATTCGAGCGTAGCTCGGAGCAACCGTTGACGGATGAGACGGGCTTCGTGCTCAATCTGCAAAACTCGAGCACGTTGGTCTTGCGGGACTCGTGCTCGTGAGGCCGCCTTTCCCGCCAGGTGGTCAACGAAAACATTGCCAGCAATGAGATGGCCCGAAAGGCCACGATTGACGACCTCCTCGCCCGAGACATGAGACGGCACCTTGGTCACTGCAATCTGGCACGGCAGTTTGTGCTGCTGCTGTTGAAGAACTGACCCGACTTCACGCCACAGGTCTGAGTCGATACCCTGCGGAGAAAAAGTAGAGGCGTCCCCACCATCATCTGCAGACCTCCTCATTGTCTGTGACAAAGATCATGAAACCTTCGGACCATCTAATACCTAGGAGACAAGCCAGCAGCTCGCCCCTCGGGACGGTGTGGCGCACTCCTGGGAGCGGTCCAAAAAACAAAACGCGAATCTGGTCCAGGGAACTCACCGACTGCAGACACCGCTAACCCTATCCGACGAAGTCGAGGATCATGTGTGTCGCTGCCGCCTGAAGCATCACCATGAAGCAGATCAGGTGCGGACTCGACGCCCTCGCCGAAGAAAATCTGGTCGAGGTCGTCGTTGTGACTGACCGCCCAGCTCTCCTCGTGCATGGGTGGGTCCACAGCCGTGAGACGCGAGGGGATTAGCCCCCGATACCAATAGCATTCCATGCTGTCACTTTGAGTCAGCGCTTTGTGACAGAACTATTGGGACACATCAAGAGCTGTTGATCCGTGATTACACCTGCAGATCCCGAAACGATGTTTTGGCGTCTCTGGTCCATCACCACAGCGTGCACACTGTGATGGAATATGATAGCCTGCTTCGGCCTTGCGGGAAGCCGTCCAGGCCTCGCCGGCCGTAATCGTGAGCAAGAGGTGAGCCAGCTTTCGACCGACCCTGGGAATCTGCTCCAACTGGAACAACTGCTTTCTTAGACTGAAATTTTCGGCTCCAGCCTCCATGCCTCCTCCGCAAAAAATATTGACACTGCAGCGTGCTGCCATTGTTTCTGCTGAGTGGACCTGGCGAAAGCGTCGAGGAGCTCCACGGCCTGATCACTGGCCTGGAATTCGGTTCCTGCTAATTTCCACCCAGCCTGGTGCCCTGCTGCGTCGGCTGCTTGATACCGCAGCGTTGGCTCTGGGATGTCCCATCCAGCGTCGAGGAGGTAGTGAACCACAGCCGTGGGGGGACCACGTATATGTCTCGCCCGGTGGCGAGGTTCACGCTGCAGAAATTCCGAAACTGCGGCGCTCCAAACTTTCGATATGGGTTTACGAAACCGAGGTACTTCCAACCAAACTCGCCACCATTCGGCCAGGCATTGACGGGTTTAAGAATACCCTGGCTCTGCGCCAGGAGCCCTGATATCTAATAAGGTAGCAAGGCCCCGACCTCGCCTGTGACCTCCCGTGGCGGCACCGAGGCGCCGGCGAAGTTGAGTCAGCGGAGTCGTGGGAAGTCCGTGTATCTGATGTCCGTATCGTGCTCCTGCCTGAGGGCCTGCCAGCTCCACCGTCTGCAAACCTTAAACCGCTTGGACGCGATGGCATACTTACGAACTCGATTATGTCGTTTGAGAGCCGTGGCGAATATTTTCCGACGCGTCGCTCGCCCATGCCTCTTGCCATCAGTTTGGTCGATGCCGGGGTGAGATGTCTGAGGAGCTGCAACCGCTGAGGTGCCACGAGCCTTCAACCGCTTCTGAATACTGCGAGCGCCCCGCATTTCCGAACAAGCGATGGCGCTCTTCTTCACGAGCTGAGGGGGACACTCGGCCAGCAGATCGTTCGTGGTCGTGCTACCCTCCACCAAATCGTTGCACATAGAGGACCTCGGCCCCACGGCTGTCTGGGAGAAATCATCAATCCAGAGTCGCTGTCACAGCCGCGGGTGGCAAACTGTGAGGCGTGCCCTCACCATGTTGGTGGTCACCTTGGCAAACCTCGTGCCGCTCCTGGGTCCTTGAATAATGCTCCGCGTGCTCTGAAATGGGCGAGGGACTGCGTCGCCTGGGTCTAAAAGGCGAGTTCCCGCTCAAGTTTGCAGTTCGAGCCCAAGCATAACTGGAGGAAGCCCATGGCGGCTTGCCCCTTCTACAGGTACTGACCATTTCCATTTCATCGTGGAAAGGTTAAATATTTAATAATCTGCGCCCACGTGAGGCCTTCATCTTCGTGAGCAGTTCCTCGTCGAGGGCTCTCAGGTAAGCTTCGCGCAGTGCGGAATTGCCCGCGCTCGCAGCCCCCCAACATGGCTGCCCCGCGCTGGCCCATTCCTGGATGAGAGGTTCTCGTGGGAGCGACCACATTCAGCAGCTCATACATATGAGGGCGATCGCACGGTTGCCCGTAAGTTGCCAGGGCCACGTTTGGAATTGTTTACGCATGGGCACAGCAAGTTCGTTGAGTGTTTGCTCGGGTAGCCTCTGAAGGTCGATCGGGGAGACCCGATCAACCCCTTGGCCAGCCCGAGGCTTCATCCGCCGAACAGCCGCACGAATATCTTCCACCGTGCGCGGCGTCAAGGGCTCAGACGCTGCGCGCCGCCGCATGCGTTCAAAAAAGAATTCGAACTTCTGGCGCTGTCTGTATGAATCGTGATGTCCACAAGGAGTGCCAGTGAGCTGCCTCGTGATCCACGACAGCCTCGGGGCGGGAGATGGTGCCTTGATCCGAGTTGGCCGAAGCTGGAACATCCAGGTCGGCGAGAGGTGGATCTTTCGTAGCTCGAAAGATGGCGTTCGTGTTCTCCCGCTTGCCAATCCAAACCTTGAAATCAGCCAGCGAAGCCGAACTCGCATGACTACGAGCTCGCTGCGCCACCTGCTTGGCATCACTAGCGTCGGTGTCCCGCTGCTGGCACGGAATGCCCTTAAGCCCGACACGAACTGTGAGCCATGACGTCCACGTGGTAGCTTCTGAAGGCCTGCCGACCGTCTTGCACGCGCAGCCAGGCGGCTCCCCAGCCAACTTGGCCCCCCGCCACGGCGAGGGCTTCAGACTGACTGAGCCCGTTCCCGCGCCGCTTACCACCTGCGCGCGCCCTCGCCAGTTGGCTGCGGCATCCTGCAAGGCCATATCTCGATAGCGTTCACTTTGTCTCACGTGATGTGTGACCAACCTGGGGCCCTGAGCTCGAGTCGGCTTGTGAGAAGGGGCCAGGACGTGATGAACTTGGTACAAGTATTCCACGCTGCTGATCCACGCTGCATGAGCACTGCTGGCTGATGAGCGCGGGGCCCTCCAACCTTGAACGCGAGTGATGCCCTCGCTGGCCCCCAAACCCGTAACATTGCACGAGGGCAATAACCTGCCTGGGCACGAGCCAATGGCCACAGGTGCGATGGGGAGAGCGAAAGCAGGGGCAGCAGCAGAGCCCGTGGAGTTGGATGGGGCGGGGGTGTCCTCGTTAGATTGGGGAGCATCCGTCGAGGCCAGTAAATTCACTGGAGGACCTCCCGACACGAGAGCGGGGGAGGGCGAGGACGAGGACGAGGGGGAAGAGGTGGAGGGGATCGTAGGCCCAACAAAGCTGGGCTCGCCGGCCCACGGATCCACTTTGTCTTAATACGGACCAAAGTGACACCCAGCCATAGGCTCGGGATCATCTGTCATCAACGGAATGCTAGACGGATCAGCACGGAGAGTTGGCGGGGGCAAGCTAGAGTTGGCTTCGGGGGAGGCTGAATGTAGAATATCCCCGGAGGGCCCTGAAATAATGGAAATCTGTTTTTTTTTCACGAGCAAGGGCCTCGTGGGCAATATGTTTCGACCGCGCCTGCGAGGACCTAGACCTGCTCTGTGCCTGAGCCTGTGGCCGGGCAGCTTGCGGCAACCTTTCGAGGACCTAGACCTGCATTCGCATGCGCAATCAACGAGATTTTGCCCAGTGGGTCTTGCTGCATTCGCATATCAACGAACTTTAGCGAGACGTGTTTCTCCCTTCCAATATGCAACTGTGCTGTCTCCAATGTGCGTCTCGCAAAATGGCGAAATGCTGGGATATTTCTGTCCGATCGGAGATGGCAGATAAGTGACGCTACTGTAGAAATTCGGTATGGCCGTTGGCGCTGAACCCCCACTTGAATCAGCTGGCGATCGCTTCGGGTGAGATGGTGCAGCTGGGGAGCCTGGGGCCTCCCCTGCTGAGGCTTTGGGCTCCTGCACCCTAGAACTCGTGGACGATGATAACGAACCTGCCGAACTCGGCTGCGCCGTCGACGATGTGCTCGACTGTGATGAAACCATCTGGCCCTCGGATGCTGCGCATGCCACACGAGGCGAGGGCGCCCTCGCGAGC